AAAACAAAATGCAATTATTTTGTCAGCCAGAAACGTACGACCCCACCTAACCTCAAGAATGAGACATAGAAAACGTTAATATTACTGTTTTTAGATTTTCACTAATACGTTGTAGTGATTGATGCTGTACATAAATGCGACGTATTAAGTGAGAGGATGGGTTGGATGGTGTTAATCATCAGGGATGAGTTAGTTTCCCCTCGCGGAAATAGCTCCTCGTGAGAGTAGGGTCTAAAACTTGACATGAGTGGGGCGGGCGGGAAATCCCCATGAACTTAGCCTGCTCCGTAATTAACTAACTCCTAATCATAACCTTTTTATACCGTGACGACACGCATGCGTGCTCAGAGTGGAAACCGTAAATATAAATATTAGTGTAGACAGGCGAGACTTGTGGCACACGGTCACAGTTCCACCAGACTAGTTGGGAAATGCATGAGTAAACAGTAAAACAATTATGGGGTTTAGTGTTCAGTAGGTGACTCACTGCCTTTGGTGTGATGCTAGCCAACCTTGTCAACGCACATGATCCCAACCTATATACCCTATACTGGGGCCCGTCACACCGTACCTCAACACCTGTGCGTAGGGCATAAGGCATGTATGACCAAATCGTACACACAATAATTCGACAAACCCCTTTTCATGTTTATTGTTAGCTGAGGCAATATGATTAGGGTTGGGTTGGGTTTTTGGGCAAGGTTTTAAAATATGTTGGTGAACCATCTGGTGTAGATGTAACCTATATATATTGCCAGTTGGGTTAGTTTATTGCGTACTGCACACCACACCAAGCTGTCCATTGTAACATAACAAAAAATGTGGGGGTATGTGTAAAGGAATCTGTATCATTATTATCAGTATTCTGTTTTCTGGTGAACATTTCGTTAGGTATATAATACTGAACAATGATAGTCCTTGGATGGTTAATCTTGGTCGTAGCTGTTACACGCTAGGATATTTATATATAATATGCGAACAAGCCTGAATGGTCCCCAGGACTATATGCAACTAAAAACTAGTTTCCAGTTATATATATATATATATATATATATATATATATATATATATATATATATATATATATATATATATATATATATATATATATATATATATGTCGTACCTAGTAGCCAGAACGCACTTCTCTGCCTACTATTCAAGGCCCGATTTGCCTAATAAGCCAAGTTTTCATGAATTAATTGTTTTTCGACTACCTAACCTACCTAACCTAACCTTACCTAACTTTTTCGGCCACCTAACCTAACCTAACCTATTAAGATAGGTTAGGTTAGGTTAGGTAGGGTTGGTTAGGTTCGGTCATATATCTACGTTAATTTTAACTCCAATAAAAAAAAATTGACTTCATACACAATGAAATGGGTAGCTTTATCATTTCATAAGAAAAAAAATAGAGAAAATATATTAATTCATGAAAACTTGGCTTATTAGGCAAATCGGGCCTTGCATAGTAGGCTGAGAAGTGAGTTCTGGTTACTAGGTACGACATATATATATATATATATATATATATATATATATATATATAATATATGTGTAAATCACGAAAATTAACACTTGATGAAAAATGTGAGTGTCAGACCACGGAGGAAGAATTGAAACAGGAATTTCCTTAAGTACTTTCGTATATTAATACATCTTCAGAAGGAATTAATACATTTCTTCTGAAGATGTATTAATATACAAAAGTACTTAAGGAAATTCCTGTTTCAGTTCTTCCTCCGTGGTCTGACACTGTCATATATATTATATAAATATATAATTGTATATAATATATAAATATTTATAATATAATAAATATGAGTTTATGATGAATGAGTTAGGTGTCGGTGTTGTGTTGGCGGGCGTGAGGGAGGTGGTGGTTTGTGTAATAAGATCAATGCGGTAAGAAGGATGGTTGGGTCGAGTCTGATAAAGACCTTTTGTGCCTTCTGTAATCCTTTTTGCGCTACCGCTCTCAGGATGAGTATAGGGTGCACAACAAACTAGCCGCCTCCGGCAGCCACAATGAAAAAAACCAGGCTCGCCCACCTCCCTGGCTGGCCACGCTCGGCCACGTGTCGCTCGGGGCCCTGCCCTCTCCTGACTTGTTGATGTTAATATTACCCTCAGACTCTACCAATGTGGTTTGTTCCCAGTTGTTAGGGAAATATTAGAGCACAGTAATACTACATATACACTAAGAGTTGATGCTGTGGTGTTTTTACACTTTTTGTCGTGATGCTTGTAACATCACAGGTACATGTGAAAACAACAATTGCATCTGGAAAAGGGGATTTTTTTAATTAGTGGCACAATGTATCGTAAAAAGTATTTAATTAATATAGTCCAGGCGTAATTAGTGATTTTTTTATTTCCTACCACAGACGTGACGATTCAGTTAAGGGCCAAGCGATATATTGGTATTATATCATATACATATTGGTGTCTTACGTGGACAAAGAATTGTTGTACCACATAAAGTATAGCCTAGTGGAGTTATTGGACACAACCACAGAGTAGTTTAATGTGCTTTTTGTAATGGTCATTTGGTTACCGTCAAACCAGCATATAGACAATATCATTTGTTCTCCATGGTCAACAGGTCCAGTGCGTGTTGGTGGTAGCAAGGAAGGCAGCCTTTTTTTTTTTGGAGGGGGGGCGGGGTCTGTCTGAGCTGTCGAGCGCCGGTGGGTTCATGACCTCTCACCTCCCACATACCTCGGTCAGGGGGGGCAAAATGACTTTTGTGTGTGTGTGGGTGAAGAAGGAAGGTTGGCATCTTTTCCCTCCTGAGAACGTGATATCCCTCCTACACTCCCTGGCTTTCTGTGGAGTGTTGAGTGAAGGGAAAAGATTCAAGTGGTGTGTAGGGTTCTCCCATACACACTACTTGGTGTCCACTTGATCGTTATTCCACCTAACTCCCTCCTCACTTCCCCCATTTACTCCTCCCTCACTTCCCCCATTTACTCCTCCCTCACTTCCCTTTTACTTTATAATAATAATAATAATAATAATACATTTTGTCGGAGACGGGCAGCCTGTGTGTGTAAATCACCAGGAAATTAACATGTGATGAATAGTTTGACAATGTTTAACCTTGAAGGAAAATGAAACAAGAAATTCCTTAAGTTATTTTTTATTAACACGCCGTCAGAAGGATGAACATTACAATTCAGTGGAGGGAATATATGTAGGCAGGAATGATAACCTTTTTTGAGTCACGGACCCCTTTGAATAACAAGTTCGGTTCCTTGCCAACACTCAGACCTAGATCTCACGAAACATCAACAGATAATGACGGCTCTACCGAGGTCTTCCCCACCCACGAAGAGTACCAGTTTTACCCAATGTTTGGCCTTATTCTCTTACCCTCATGTTTGATTTGTCCTATTCCCTTACCCTATGTTTGAGTGGTCCTATCTCCTTACTCTGTATTTGATTGCCTCATCACCTCAACAAATATTCCTTCGACTTCTCCACATGTGTATTTAACCCAAATTTGTACCTCGTGTATTCATTCTTCACTGAAGATGTTCCAAAGAGGAATGAAACAGTGTTGAAAATAATTCCTTCAATAATTAATTTCCTTGCCATTAATGTTGGTACCTTGATTGCTTTTCTTAATACTGATATTAAGAAAATAGAAGCATAAAAAGCTCCATCTTATATATATATATATATATATATATATATATATATATAATATGCATGCGCAATTGACGATCAAGAAACACTGATCATTTGTATGCGGAAAATCCACAGAGAAATGGGAAAGGAATTTCTTTAATCTTGGGGTGCCCCTTTAGCGTGAAGGTTTCAGGTAATCCACGTCCTAGTTATATAAATTGCTAGCCACCATATCGTGAATAATAACATTTCATTCACCTGGACACTCTTGAGCCTCGAACCACCGACCATATAGACAGTAGCCACCTACACCCACTGTCTATGTGGTCGGCTGTTCAGTCTCTGTTTCTCACCACATTTTATTTTCGTCTCTTTTTATGTAACTTCCTTTCCCTTTCACTCTACCTTTCTGACAAGTTCTCTCAGCTCTCCCTGAACTGGCAGCCGACCCCCGACCTTCCTCCTCACCTGACTGCCCTCAGACTCCTCCAACCCATGCTACCCCCGACAGAGAGCCTGACGGCTCTTCAGCCCCTCCCTCGAGGGGACCAGCCATCGTGTAACACATACAAATAATTGGAAATTCGTGAAGTGCACCGGTTCATGTTACGTGACCCGAGTTTCGTGATTTTTATAATTCATGTTAGTGTCGGTGTTTCATGTTAGTATTTGTTGGTTCGTTCATGCAGTTTGTTAGTGTGTTGTGTTGATTGAAGTGATCAGGAGTTGTAAGGTTTATATATTGGCGCTATGTTGGAGTAACGTGTTGGTGGCAGGCGGGGGTAAAGGCATCAGAGGTTGGGTGAGTTGTAAGGAGTGGCAGCGTACAGGCCGAGGCTATGGAAGACATCTACATTGTCAAAGTTTATAAATATACCATCACCTAGACTTTGGTCAGAAATAAATGAACATTACAGCGTGCTCATAATGTCATGATTAGTTTCATGGTAGACCTAGCTGATGTGAATCAGCTAGGTCGTTTTGGTAGATGGTAACAGAAACCAGAAACCAGAAACCAGGTAGATGGTAACAGAAACCAGTAACCAGAAACCAGGTAGATGGTAACAGAAACCAGTAACCAGAAACCAGGTAGATGGTAACAGAAACCAGTAACCAGAAACCAGGTAGATGGTAACAGAAACCAGTAACCAGAAACCAGGTAGATGGTAACAGAAACCAGTAACCAGAAACCAGGTAGAAGGTAACAGAAACGTTGCCATCAAGCAGAGTAGGTTTTTCTGTTATGGAGTTGGGTTGTAATGGAAGCACTTAACACCCTGCTATTCATTAATATATAAGATATTTTATAATTATAAAAATTTTTCCACAAATATCTCTAACCTCTCACTGGGTCATCTTATTCTCAGGGTTCTGTACCACAGTGGTCTACGTCCTCGGCTCACGATCGAGGAACCCAGGCTCAATCCCCAAGCAGCACAGAGAAGGTTGGGCAAGTTTCCTTTCATCTGATGCCTCTGTTCACCTAGCAGTAAAATAAGTACCCTTGAGTTAGGAAAGTGTTGTAGATCCTAGTTCCTAGGGATGGACCGGGATAAGCCAAGGTACAAGTTTCCTGTCCCCAACAAAGGGAAATTTTTAGTCTCCATGATAGTGAACTGAGACTAGTCTCAGGGCTAGTTAATAAGATTTTCACTTGGCCCGGTCAGTTGTGTTGATGATAGTGGTGTGGGAGTGTTGGAGGGATGGGCTCAGGTGATTGGGATAGTGTTGGCGGCAGTGATGGAAGTGTTGGAGAAGTGTTGGCGGTGACTTGGTCTTAGTCACACCCCGGTACTCTACATTTGATTTCTTTTCATTATTTTTCCTTCCTTTATCTTATCATAGTATAGGTTGTCCTTCCTTTTCTCTCCTCTATTTCCACCCCCGTTCTCTTGATCTGTCACGACGTACAGAAGACAGTGCTAACCTAACCATAAACGTACGAACCCAAGCAACCCACCTAACCTAACCTACCAATGCATACAAAATGTGGATGTTTGCAAGCCTCTACTTTTCACAGTACTTTTGTACGTTGGAGACCATTGTGTACGAAATGTATTTGTTGAAAGAACGGGGATGTACTTTTACCATTCATTACCTGTACTTCTTCCAGCTACTCTACTCCTGCCGTCTACGGCTCCCACAACTTCAATGGCATTAATTTGATCTTAGTTTTACATCCTCATCTTTACTGTGTGTTTTCTCTCGAGGTTCTTTAACACCAGGACTCCACGTCCTGGATTTTCCCTTCACTCTGACTCCTTTAATTTGTACATTAAATCACTGCCGAAGTTTGGTGTTGTGTTGATGGTTGAGGCTATGTCGGTTGTGTGGCGGCGACCCGTTAGTGGTGGCTGGCTTTGTGGTCTCGTCAGCCCTTCTCTACCCCACCCCCTCGCTCCTCTTACCCTTCCCAACCTAACGCTGCTCCTCATTCCTTATCCTCACATCTCTACCATACCTTCCTCACTCTTAACCCACTTCCATCTCCCAGCCCAGCCATCTCCCACTCCTGTCTCCACGCTCCATCCCACTGCTAACTCTCTCACCTTTTTTTTTCCATTTATATACGTTCGTTCCCTAGTCATATCCCCACACCCTCTCCTCCTCCCATATGTTTTCATGCTGGCAGATTTTAGAACCATTTCAAAATAATGAAGGAGCAGGGTGGCCTTACCTTGAAAAACGAATAGGCTATAACGAGCAGACACACACACACACACACACACACACACACACACACACACACACACACACACACACACACCCAGATACCAGGGGAGAAAAACGAGTCTTGGTTGTAGATAATACCTTATGAAGTTTTCACTATATGTAATATTTCTTTTATGGTATTTTTTATATTAGATTTAGGGCTAATTGGAATGTTTAGTCTTAGAACTATACCATATCCTATAGTGTCATCATTTGTAAAAAAAAAAATTCTCCACAAAACTAGGCCTAATTTCAGTTATCGGAATGGCTCTCTATATTGACATATTATCTCAGTTCTATTTCAAGAATTTTTGTAAATGACGATGATTTTTTTCTTGTTTTATTAAACATTACTTTTTACTCTTGTATTCAGATTGGAATATATTTGATAAATGGTCATTTATACATAACTGCCGTCTGTACCGCAAGGTTAAGCCTAGATAGTCATGCGAGCCCGAGGCCTACCATCAATACCTACTTATTATCACCACAATTTCTACCACCACCGCTAGGCTTGGCCTACCACAACAAGGAAAGCAGTTGCATGAATACGAATTGTGAAAAAGGCTTTTTTCTAGACAAAATCAGCCTTAGGCTAACGCCTGAATAACATAATAGCCTAGGTCTAGCCTAAACATAATGCCATTAATATCGTAAGAGAACTTGAAGACAACAAACTAATACGGGAACTTGAGCTAGGGAACTTAACACAAGTACTTGCATACAGGCTGGAATGGTGGGAGCTTGCTACCTTTTTTCACGGTTTCAAGAGCAAAGACGACAGTCTTTGAAGCCTCGGGGTGTATAAACGCACTAGATAGAAGGCTAGATTATGAAGTTGGGGCCCTAGAGCTAGATATCTATCCTTAATAACACACACACCAATATATCGCGACAATACCTCTACCACAAGCCATCACCACAGCCTACCCACCCTCCTATAGCAAGCAACCTTTGCTTATTACAACAATCTAAACATACTTCTGTTCTCATTATAATATTATATTAGGAGTATTATTATACTCATTGTACCTTCTTCCTTGTAGTCATATTGTGTGTTCAGTTAGGTTAGCTTCCCGTAGCCTATTCACTACACCACTTATTTCGTGTCCTCAGATATGACGGCCTGGGGATGATACCTCTCTTGATTGGCTACGATCAAAACATACGGTATCTAGTTTAAATATTTTGTTTTCCTTTGCGAATATATCCATGTCCCACCACACAGCTATTGAGGACATTCGAAAGCTTCCTTCGGTAATCGCATTTACACCCACACCAGACAAACAAATTAATATGGCCAGCGTCTGTCTATTAAGCTTATACTTTTCAAAGAGTATTCAATTTGTACTCCCTGTATTCTTAGCGTATAAAATTAGATATACCTACCAAGTAGAGTTCATGTAAGCAGTTTGCTCTGCTGAAGGCTGTTTTGAGCTAGACAGATTTATGAAGCAACTAGCTACGTTTGGTTTTATTATTGATTCAAAGTTAAGAACAAATCGTATTGTTTGGAAAAGAGAGATAGGTAATTATGAGTGTGTATGTGAGTATGATTAAGAAAGGATATGAGGACGGGCTGAAGTAAGGGGTACCCAACCACTTGAACCATCGGGGATCGAGTACTGATCATTTAAAAGCGAGTCCGTCGCTGTACTGATTGGTAGGGATCAAGGGAGGTTGGGTGTAGGTATACTTGTAGTTGTGTATTACGTCTTGTTGTAATGTGTTTTGCTGCTGTATTTGTTTAGTGGTTGGTACTGTTGTGTGTATGTGTGGCCACTTCTTGAATCACCTGTGGTATAAAAAGACTATTGATGTATGTACATGTATTTGTGCAAACGGATAACAGAATGGTGTAACTAGCTTCACAAAATTGTTACATGATTAGCTAAATGAACTGTAGGATTCAGTTCCTGAGCCCATTTGTGAATCTATAACCCTTTCCACCACCACCTCACGGGATGGGTATAGGGGGCATTATAAATACCTATACTGTGCCTGTGTGTGTGGGGGGGGGAGGATGGGGAGTGAGTTGCGTAAGGTAATCATAAGGAAAAAATACTAAGCCGGTCTGACTAACATGCGCTAGGTAGGCCTATAAGGATAGGTCCGGTGCCCAACCAATTGGAACATGGGGGCTGAGAAACGTACATTTTCTTTATTTGGTAGGCTAGGTGTAGCTGTATCTAGATAATGGAAAGATAGTTAACTTGTATCAAGTCCTTTGAGTACGTATGAGAATATCACGTGGTTTGGGCCAAAGTATGTTTTACAAGGTTATTACTTATAGACTGCCTTGTCGTTCATAACTCAACATGTGTGTGTGATTATCTCAGCCGTCTTTGTCACCTAGTGTGGCTGGGTTCTTCATTGTCATACATCACCCTCTTCCACCCCCTCCGGGATGTGTTAATGGCCCACAATACAACACAATACATTGTTCCTTAGGACAATAGCGTCCATTGGCATGTCCCAGCCTATCCTACAGTGGAAGACAGAACAGCATGTGGTTCAAAATATAAAACTTACCTTGAGTTGTTAAATAAACAGTTTTAGGCTTACATTTTATACCCCACCTAATGTTTTAGGGCGCTGCCTCTTAAACCCGGCCTCACATTGCACTTAAAGTCGACACCAGCCTCCAAACTGAGTCGCTTTAGTGACACTTCACCTTGAATCTAACTCTTAACCTGTTTACAGTTACCCCATATCCTCTCCCCTATTGTAATCGCTCTCTTTCCCATTCTCCTCCTCCACCCCCCTTATCTTTTAATATTTGTTTTGAAATAAACAGCCTAGCCTCGCTTGCTTTTTAACATGTTATCAAGTTATCGTATATCAGCCATTATATATAGCAGTGCTCTCTCGTGGACGTTTGTATTCTATTGTGATAAGTGACTGGAAAATTATTATTTTTTATTAATGGTATTCTACTTGATACTACTTATTCTACTTGAGTGAACTGGTGGATGGTAGAGTGAACTGGTGGATGGTAGAGCGAGCTGGTGGATGGTAGAGCGAACTGGTGGATGGTTGAGTGAACTGGTGGATGGTAGAGCCAACTGGTGGATGGTAGAGCGAACTGGTGGATGGTAGAGCCTACTGGTGGATGGTAGAGTGAACTGATGGATGGTAGAGCCAACTGGTGGATGGTAGAGCCAACTGGTGGATGGTAGAGCCAACTGGTGGATGGTAGAGCCAACTGGTGGATGGTAGAGCCAACTGGTGGATGGTAGAGCCAACTGGTGGATGGTAGAGCCAACTGGTGGATGGTAGAGCCAACTGGTGGATGGTAGAGCCAACTGGTGGATGGTAGAGCCAACTGGTGGATGGTAGAGCCAACTGGTGGATGGTAGAGCCAACTGGTGGATGGTAGAGCCAACTGGTGGATGGTAGAGCCAACTGGTGGATGGTAGAGCCAACTGGTGGATGGTAGAGCCAACTGGTGGATGGTAGAGCCAACTGGTGGATGGTAGAGCCAACTGGTGGATGGTAGAGCCAACTGGTGGACGGTAGAGCCAACTGGTGGACGGTAGAGCCAACTGGTGGATGGTAGAGCCAACTGGTGGATGGTAGAGCCAACTGGTGGATGACTTGTAAAATGAATAAATAGTTTTGTATTGCACAAAAACTTTGTCGTCGTTGTCTGAGGTCTATATGTCGTCGACTAATTTTTTTAACATTTATATATGTATATATTCTCTTGGATGTGAGCCGTTGGACAAAAGTT